CCTCACATTTATCCAAATTAAACTCCATCTGCTACTCCTCAGCTGATTGATGCAACTGATCAAGATCTCTTTGTAATCTTAGAAAACCTCCTTCTCTGTCTACTAGACTACCAATTTTGGTGTCATTCGTAAACTTACTAACTATGCCTTCTATATTTTCATCTAAAACCTTTATATGAATGACAAACAAAAGTGGACCCAGCACCAATCTCTATGGAACACCGCTGGTCACAGGCCTCCAGTCCGAAAAACAACCTTTCACCATCACTCTCTGTCTCCTGCCATAAAGCCAATTTTGTATCAAATTGGTAAGCTCACCCTGAGTGCCACGTGATCTAACTTTACTAATTTGTCTACCATGCGGAACCTCGTCAAAGGCTTTACTAAAGTTCAAGTAAACAATGTCTACTGCTCTGCCCTCATCAATCTTCTTAGTTACTTCCTCAAAAATCTCAAACAGGATTGTGAGACACAATTTACCTTGCACAAAACCATGTTCACTCTCCCTGAAATTCCTTGCCTCTCCAAATGCATGTAAATCTCATCGTTCAGAATCGCTTCCAACAACTTACCCACCACCAAAGTCAGACTCACAGATCTATAGTTCCATATGTTTGGTAGGTTATTGAGTACAGACAGCAATAGGGAACCATTTCAAAATAAAATTTTCCTGATGTTCAATTGAAGGAAATGCACTATATCATAGTAACTTAGAAGACATTTTGCATCTAAAGACACACGATGCAGACAGAAGCACAACTAATTTTTCCTGGAATGTTTATAAGAATGGACAAATGTTTATTATATACATTATTATCTTTTACAACAGCCCTGAATTTTAGCAGCAGAGGAATAATTAGCAGGGGTCAAGGGAGAGATGGATAGTGGAAACAGATGCACTAACAACTTTCAAAAGTGGTTTGGATAAATACTTAAGGGAAATACTTACATAAGAGAATATGGAATGGGAACATACAGCACCTTGAGCCTGCTGTGCCATCCAGTGAGACTAGAGCAGATCTGATTGTAACTTCAGCCCCACTTTCTTGTCAGATTGCTCCTCTGTTCATCGGGAGAGATCAGGGAAACTGAACTAATTGGATGACTCTTGCAAAGAGCTGACATGAACATGATGAGTTGAAAGATTTCTTGTGTTGTATCACTCTATAATGATGGGAGCATCACAGCATTTAAAAAGTGTTTATTGTTGCTCAACTCAAACTGTATGCAACTGCTATGTTCTTTGAGGCTCACAATATCTAAATGTTACACTGTACATAGACACTGCTGGAAACGAATTACAGATTCACTGTCCAGGCTTCAATTCCATTCAAGACTGATGTGTTACAGCATTGGTGTTTCAGTAATTGTCAGATATTTTGTGAGATATTTTGTTTTTCTCGCTGCCCTTATTCCACTACTACTTCTTCAAATATCAAGACAATGAAACTTGATTTATTCTCCATACAGGATCTGACAACGGATTATATTTGCTCTGGTAATGTATTTACAAAGATGCCATTTTAACAGTGCTATTAGTCTTTATTTTTAAACTAGTCAACTGCTAGAAAAGGGAATTGTTTGGGACCAGTTGACAGCTTTAAAAAAGACACTGGATCAGTATCTGTAAGCAAGGGCAATTCAGGGCTACAGAGAAGTTACGAACACTACAGAAGTAAAAGGAGTTTATTGAGCATGAAATTCTGCCTCATTTACATCTGTCCGATTCACATCCTGCCCAAACTATACATAACCTGTCCAATTACATTTTCCATTGAAAATAAGTGGCCTGCTGATGCACTCTCATCTCTTTTATGCTTCCAACAACAGCAACATTCCATTTATAATGTGATTTTAACACTGACTATAATCAGCCAAAAACAGATTTGGAGGAGCACAGGGATCTCAGAGGATTTTAGGGATGTAGAATATTACAGTGATAAAGAAGGCAAGAACAAGGAGGGATTTCAAAACAAGGATTAGATTTTTAAAAATCAAGGCATTGGCTGATCAATAGTCAATATAAATCAGTAGGCATAAAGATAATGGTTGAATGAGACTTTGTAGTAATTAGAATATGGGGAGCAGGGCTTTGGGAAAGCTGAATTTTAGGCTGGTTGAAGATTAGATCAGGAATGCATTGGAATATTAAGGTTCTGATGTGCCAACATCATAGATCAGGGATTCAGCATCATGTGAGCTGAGAAAAAGGCAGCAATAGGCAATGTTGTGAAGGTGAAAGTAGTCAGCCTTTGTGATGGAGAGAATAATAGAATCCAAGCTTAGCTCAGGATCCAAATGAACATGGATAGGTTGTGGACAAAACCTTTCAATCTGAGACACAAAGCAGAAAGGGGAATGGAATTCAATGTTAAATTGAATGATATTGACTCTTATCCATGACTACCTTTCAGACAAGGTCTCCTGCAACATAGAAGCAACAGAAGGGTCATGAGATATGGTGCTGGTGAGAGCTGGGTGTCAGTATTGTACACAAGAAACCTGATGTCATTATCTTCCTATGACATTGTTGAAGAGAAATTGATATAGGAGGGGACAAGGATAAAAATCACAGGGATTCTATAGGTAATGGTGTGGCGTGAGAACAGAAATCATTGCTGCAGTTTCCCTCCAGGACAAATTTATTCCACAGTTTCTTAATGAAAGACCATGAGAGTGAAGTTTTTGAAAGAAATCTTGCAGACTTGAAGAAGTGCAATTGATAGGTCTAAATGTTTGACAATCCCATGACGTTATGTTAGGCAGAGCAAATGATCAGAAATATTAGAAATAGTCCAAGGATGTGTAGGGTAGGTGGATTGGCCAAGCTAAATTGCCCATAGTGCCCAGGGATGTTTAGGTTAGGTGGGTTAGACATGGGAAATGCAGGGGTATGGGAATGGGTCTGGGTGAGATGATCTTCGGAGGGGCGGTGTAGACTGGTTAGGCCAAAAGGCCTGTTTCCACACTGTAGGGATTCTATGATGATTCTATGATTAAACCCTGATTCTCACATATGGTAACATGGGAATGCAAAAACACCCCTGCAATTTGTCAAGTAACTGTACTCACCTTTTACCTCATCCATTCATAATATTTTGAAACTCAACAGTGAGTTCAGCAAATTGATTACTGTTCTTACAGGACAGCCTGATGCCACCTCAATCCCCATTCAAACCATCCGTTGAACACCAGTCAATAAAAACTATGTTCAATTCACACTTCCCTCAACTGAAGGCATTTAGGCTAATTACAATAGTGTACTCACCACTCTTCGTGTTCAATGGCATTCCCATTGCTGAATCCCCTAATACCAACATCATGAGGGTTACCATGGACCAGAAACAAACCGGGACTAGCTGTGGAAACGCTGTGGCTACAAGACCAGGTCAGAGGCTAGGAAATTGGTAGCAAGTGAATTACCTCCTGAATCCGCTATGGACCATCTACAAAGCACAAGTCAGGAGTGTGATGGAATCCTCCTCATTTGTCTGGATGAGTCCAGCTCTAACAACACTCAAGAAGCTTGACACCATGTTGGATAAAACAGCTGCTTGATTGGCACTACACACACCACCTTCAACATTTTTTCCCTTCACCACTTATGTACAGGAGCAGCAGTCTGTACTATCTACAAGAAGCTTTGCAGTTGCTCACCAAGGCTCCTCTAACAGCATCTTCCAAATCCACAACCTCTACTACAAAGGGATGACAAGGGGAGCAGATACTGGAGACCACTACCTGCAACTTCCCCTCCAAGCCACACACCATCCCAACTTGGAAATATATCACCATTCCTTTATCTAGTGTTGGTTAAAATCCTGGAACTCCCACTCTAATAGCACCATGAGTCTACCGACATCATCTGCACTGCAGCAGTTCAAGAAAGTAGCTCAAAGGATGGGCAATAGATGCTGGCCCACCCAGTGAGGCCCACATGCTGGAAACAAACAAAATAAAACCTGGACAGGGATCAAACCTGTAAACCTTCCTGGCTTTAATGACCAATGCCAACAAACACAAACCATCAGGTTTTCTCCTGTAAATTAAGTAGAAAAGGTGATAAATCTCAGAATCCCTGAAGGTGACTGTTGTGTTGCGATTACCTGTGATTTATAGTTTGTCTTTATTCAATTTCACAGCTTATTTCCGTTTCCCTCAGAGCAGTTGGTTAGAACCTTAAGTTTGAAGATTGCTTACACACATGGTTTTATCTTGTCTCACTGCTATCTGAGCTCCCTGTTTCAATACTATATTTATCTCAATGATGCACATTGCATTTGGAATCAAATTCACTGCACTTTGCATCAGCACTTGGTGCTGTGCAGACACAAGTCCTGCTCCGTCCTTTCTTCGCAAAACTTCATCTTAGCTCATTTTGATTTAGAAAATTCTGACCTGAAACTGCAACCAGCAACCAGATATTCCAGTAGGACTCAGTTTTAAATTAAAAGGTAAGTTATTGTAAACAGCCGCATTATCAGTGGTAACACATTAAACAAGTTTGTGGTTGTTTTTAAAACCTATCATTTAATCTGAGACAAGCTCTCTGGACCTCTGATTCAGTTTTATATAGTTTTCAAGCATCAGGGAAACTGTCAGGGATGCTTGTTCTAGCAGGTTATCAGAGTTGTGGAATGATCACGCTGTTGCAAATGGGAAGAAGAATGAAGCATGTATTAATATCTTTCCTACCTTCTTTCACAGGCTGGTTTGAAATATTTGTGAGATTTGTGCATGCAGTACAATATAAGATCAGAATCAAGAGCTAACATGGCATTTACTGTTGCGTCGTAACTCCACCTTGAAGTGATAAATATTGTGGCATTTAAGCTGCATTGAACCTAACTATTTCCAGTGACAAGTGTTTGATTGCCTTTTCCAGAATTACTAATGAATGAAAGTCCTGATCCATTTCTTTGGTACAATGTCACTATCGATGTGTGCTTTTTCTTCCTAACTCATTGTTCAGCAAGAAGAAAGGACTGACCCCAGCCACTATGCCACTAGCTGGAACCCCTGCCCCAACCAAGAAGAAAAGGACAACCAGAATAATTCCAACAACATTGAAGGAAGGTAAGGTCCTGCATTTATAACATCACACTCAAGGCGACAAATGTAGCTTTCCCTAAAAAAACACTGGCCCCTTCCAGATAAACTGAAAGTACTTACCAGATTACACTGTCATTTCGTCTGCAGTATATATTTATTTGCAACCACTTTGTAATAAGTTCAAGTGAGAAATGGGGGCTTCTTCGGAAAATATTAGAATTGCTGAGTGCTATTTCCTTGGGTTTAAGGTTTTTAAAATCCCAAACTACTTGACAACAAGCCCCATATTTTACCCGTGTTGTTCAGCCTGTCTTTTCTATTTAAGACAACCCTTTTGACTACGAGTCAACACACCCTATTTATAAAATACCCCGTCATACTATTCAGTTCTTTAACCTGCTAATTACTAAAACAGTTAGAGATGCTGTTCGATTGATTTATTTCTGCATATTTTCTCAGTATCTTGTAATTTTACAACATTTGCGGAGAGCCAGGTATGCCTTCTCAGATGACAGGAGTGCACTTTAATTCGGAGAAGCTGCTGACAGTCAGTAGTAACAGCTGAAGATGGTGTGTGATTGATTTATTGACCACAGGTTAGCAGTGTCTCGCCATTTGCAGCACTTTTATAGCTCCATCGATATACTTCAGACTAAAGTCCCATAAAGGCGCGAGGCCAAATGTGTGTTCCACTCTCCTGTCCCAAGCCTTAACATCTTTCATGTTTGTTTTGTTTATCGTTCTCTGTCACAGTCGGAACCGAGATTAACCTTGGGAAGAAAATCAGCATCCCAAGAGATGTGATGTTGGAGGAACTGTCACTATTGAAGAATAAAGGATCCCTGATGTTTAAAGAGAGGCAACGCAGGGTCGAAAGGTTCATCTATGAATCAAATCCTGATGTCTTTAACACAGATTCGATGGTATGCATTACAACCCATTTCATATCCAATATTGATCACTTCAAGTCTACAAATTCCTTTCCACAGATTTACTAGCAATTTATATATAATTGACACCTGTGTGCTATTTCAGTAATTCAGTTTCAGAAGCCACAAATTCAAATGTTTCCTTTTCATCCTGAACTGCATTGCAATGGCTGCATCACATCACCAATTACATCAGCACCATGAACTTCAGAAAAATGATCGAGTAAGTGGTAATATTCAGGTGCAATGACAAACACACAGCAGCCCATCACCTCACCTCCTCCCCCGAAAACATTTACCATCTCTCATACCAGTCACTGCCCATGGCTTGCCCGTCACCTTTATTCCCTCAAGCCCAAGGAGCACAGAATCCAATGTATCTCAAACACAATCAACTTAGCCCTTCATTTCCAGATCAGGCTTCACCATATCAAGTCATATTGAGCCACACGTTCCTCTGCCAAAATTGATTGCTCCAACTGGATTACCTGGGAGAGAGGAAAGAAACTCTTGTTTCTCTCCTTGTTTTTCTCTCCTTGTCAACAAATCCCCCGACCTTAGCCATTTAGATCTCAGCTCAAAGTAGAAGCATGTGAACTTCTTGGACTTCATTTTCACCAAGGGAAATACCAGCTGCCACTCAGTCGCCTCTACTGCTTTCTCCCTTTTCTCCCTCTTCACCAAACAGAATCTTGCTTCAGAATTACTTCTCTCACTCCTAGGCCTTAGTCACAATCTCTGTCTCCCTCTCTTCTCCCCAGAGTCTTTTCCATTTCCCCAATATTCCCATTTTATCTCACATCATCATGAGATTCATCTTCTGTTCTCTTGATCCCATTCCCAATAAACTGCTGACTACTCAGTTTCCCTTCAGTTCCCCATGCTAGATGTTCAAGTAATGGGTTCAGTCCATTTCCAAAATGTTATCACCTCTCAGCTCACAAAATATTTTTGCAATTCCTGTTTTCCTGAAAACCACTATCTAAGCTCTAACCTCCCTTTGCTCATCAAAGTCTTTAAACATACATTTCTGTCTGAAGTCTGTGGGATTTTTGTGCAATTCCCTGTTTGTATTTCTCAAATTCTATTACTCTCACAGCAGTGAGATGACCAAACTAGGACATGGATGACATTGTCTAGTACTTTATAGTACTTTATCCCTCAACTTCCTCGATATCTCAATAAAAACCAAAAGAACTGTGGATGCTGTGAATCAGGAACAAAAACATAAGTTTTTGGAAAAGCTAAGCAGATCTAGCATTATTGGTGAAGAAAAATCAGAGCTAACGTTTTGGGTCCAGTGATCCTTCCTCAGAACTGGGGAGCTCTGAGCAAAGGTCACTGGACCCAAAACATTTTTCTTCACAAGTGTTGCCAGACTTACTGAAATTTTTCAGAAACTTCTGTTTTTTTGCTCCTTGAATCTCTATTTCTCTGATATTTCAACAACAACCTCTACTGAGACCTCTCCACTTTTGTCCATTTCACTGGAACTAGCGGCATATGCTAATCCTATTAATTGTATATTGTTGCCAAAACATGTACAATAATGCTTCTGTACTAATCCTGCATTGTTAACTTTGAAGATCATCAATATTCATTCTTTCCTTACTACACTTCTTCATCCACATGCTGTAATTTGATAATGATTTCAGGAGACATGGCTCACTTTCAAAAGTCCTACTTCTCTATCATCTTTCTTGAACATCCAGTGCTACTATTTATCAGGTTGCTGGTCCATCATAGTCTTGATGAGCTCAGTTTTGTCCACTTATGCCAGGTGAGACCAAAACCATTACCTTTGGCAAGTGCTTTATACTTCTTTTTATTCATTCATGGGATGAGTGCATTGCTGACCAGGCTGCATTTATTGTCCATCCCTAATTGCCCAGAGGGCAGTTTAGAGTCAACCACATTGCTGAGGGTCTGGAGTCACATGTAGGCCAGACCAGGTAAGGATGGCCGTTTCCTTCCCAAAAGGACATTAGTGAACCAGATGGGTTTTACCAACAATCAACAATGGATTCACAGTCATCATTAGACTCTTAATTCCAGATGTTTTATTGAATTCAAATTCCACCATCTGCCATGGCAGGATTTGAACCTGTGCCCCCAGAACGTTATCTGGATCTCTAGATTAACAGTCCACTGATAATACCACTAGACCATCGCCTCCCTGCTGGAATACTGTTGGTACTGATTCCATTCCCTTCTCTGGTCATAGTTTCAGGTCAAATTAAGTAGTTTGGAACCTCAGCATCCCATTCAAGCCCAAAACAATCAAAAGTAGGCTTAAGAAACTTCTTCACAGTGAGGATTTTGTGCAAGTGTGATTGTAAGCACAAAAGATCAGTTGAAGTTTTGAAAGTAGAAATAGATATGCAATTGGGAATTAAAGGCTATAAATTGTAGATTTCTCAAAGATGACGACGGAGATGAGAAATGTAGTGATAATAGACATTATCGTAGTGCTTGTTTCCACAGTAATGTATTAGACAGTGTGTTGAATTCTGCACTTAAATCAACTGTCTACACAATATATTAGAATTAAGTATTTTGGCAGCTTACTTGCGACATCAAAGAACTTTTAAATAATTTATTCATATTTCTGTCCAGTTTTGTAAAAACAGCTTTTCTTTTACAGAAGAAGGCATCAAAGTGTTATAACCTAAACTACCCTTAGACCCTTTCAAATTATTCCAACTCATCTATTTGAGTCCTCCCTCTCAGTCCTCCATCCAGCATGCTGCCAGACCTGCTGAGTTTCTCCAGCACTTTCTGTTTTTCTTTCAGATTCCAGCATCTGCAATATTTTGCGTTTATTATATTAAGGCATTTAAATTTACTGATGATGCAAATTGAAGTGGGAATGCAACCTGTGAAGAGGACACAAAGTTTAGATCAGTGACAGCAACAGAGCGAAGGAGAGAGAACCTGGGAGTGAACAGCAACAGTAGGATTAATACCTGAGGAGTGGAGTCAATCAGAGCTGAATCTAAGCTCCAGAGACAATGTCACAACTCAACAAGTGACATAGGCTTGGCTGCTCAGGAACAAAGTTTTCAGACTGAGTGTGTAGTGTCTGGAAAGAAATAAAGTACCTAGTTTTTACAGTTGTAGTCTACTAGGAATGGATAGCATGAGTGAGGGACCTGAGTTTGGTGATTAGTGGATTTTTTAAATTCATTCACGGAATGAGGGCATCACTGACTAGGTAGCATTTATTGCCCATCCCTAATTGCCCAGAGGGCAGTTAAGACTCAACCACATTGCTGTGGGTCTGGAGTCACATGTCGGCCAGACCAGCTGAGGATGGCAGTTTCCTTCACTAAAGGACATTAGTGAACCAGTTGGGTTTTTGTAACAATTGACAATAGATTCATGGTCTTCATTAGACCCTTAATTTCAGATATTTATTGAATTCAAATTCCACCATCTGCTGTAGTGGGATTTGAACCTGGGTCCCCAGAACGTTAACTGGGTCTCTAGATTAACAGTCCAGCGATAATACCACTAATCAGTTGTATAAGTTGTATAATCAGTTCCTGTATTATTGTCTGCAGTTCATAAGGTTTGTTTAGGCAATAAGGTTCACAATGGCAGAAGAACTTGGCACTGTGGAATGCTCCTCCTACAAATTGTGGGAAATCAGGGACATGTCCAGAGCACTTTATAGGCTTATTAGCAATAGGCAGCATGGTTTTGTGCAGGGAAGGTCATGTCTCACAAATCTGATTGAGGTTTTTGAGGAAGTGACAAAGATGACTGACAAGGGCAGCACGATCTATTACGTAAATGGCAACACAGGTGGATAAAGTGGTCAAAAAGGCATTTAGCAGGCTTTCCTTCATCAGTCAGGGCATTGAATATAAAAATTAGCAAGTCATGTTGCAGGTCTACAGAACTTTAGTTAGGCCACATTTGGAATATTATGTGCAGTTCTGGCTGCCACACTACCAGAAGAATGTGAATGTTTTGGAGAGGATACAGAAATGGTTTATCAGGATGTTGTCTGGTTTGGAGTGTATTAACTATAAGGAGAGTTTGGATAAACTTGGTTTGTTTTCACTTATTGGAGGCAGTATAGTGAAGATTCATCATTTCATCACTGTGATGAAAGGGTTGTCCAACGAAGAGAGACTGAGTAAACGTAGTCTATGTTTTCTGGAGTTTAGTAGAATGATTTAGTAAAATTTAGAGGTTATCCAATTGAAACATCTAAGGTTTTGAAGTGGCTTGATAGGGTAGATATTGAGAGATTGTGAGCTTCATGAATAACACCTCAACCTTCAATTCAGCATTTTACAACTTTCCAGACTGAGCACAGAGTTCAACCATTTCATATCATAAATCCTTTCTCCCATTTGTTTCTTTTCTCTTTGCATTTTTTGGTTTTCTCTTACTTTTCCTTTCAGGCAATAGCACAGCTGCACTATTCTTCTCTTGGAGATAGCAGGAACTGCAGATGCTGGAGAATCTGAGATAACAAGGTGTAGAGCTGGATGAACACAGCAGGCCAAGCAGCATCAGAGGAGCAGGAAGGCTGACGTTTCGGACCTAGACCCTTCTTCA